GACTGTCCACTCCCTGGAGCTCAGGGATGGCATCTCAGCAACCCCTGGCACATCCAAGGGCCTGGGAGAGGAGGAGGGTCTGGGAGAGGAGGGTGTCCTGCCACGGCACAAACTGTGGCTCTGCCCCTGCCACAGTCTGTGCTGGCATATCCCAAGCTCACATCTGACTCCCACAGAAGGGGTGCCAAGGTTCCGCTGGAACAGCAAAGGCCATTCATCTTCCCCCAGGCAGAGGAGGAAGCCAGCATTTCCATGGAGGGATGGAAGCTGCTTTGGAAAAAGGTTATTGAGATGCACAAGACGACAGGTCTGCAGCAGGTTACCAAGGGAAACGGGATGTTCTGTGGCAGCATCCCACCTACCACAGCCCTAGTCCCCCCTACCTGTGGGCCTCTAGGGTGGACAGGGGGCACTTCCTAAGACCTTTGCAGGCCATTTCTTTTGAGCACTTCTCTGTCTGGTCCTCTGAAGTCCACGCCACCCCCACCCCACCAACTTCCTCTTCTGGGCATAGTCTGCCTGGAAGCGAGCTGCGAGCAGTGAGGACACCCAGCCCAGCATGGTACACAGCAGTTCCTTCGCCTTCCTCTTCCCCTCCCCATCACAGCAGGAGCAAACTCCCTTCTATGGGGGGTAGGGTGGGGGGAAGCGCCACTCCGGGCACCCAGAGGGGCCCCACAGCTGCTGGGCTGTGTCAAGTGTGAAACAAGTCTCACTTTGCCACTGCAGAAGCCAGCCCAGGAACACTAGAGTAGAGGATATTTATAGCTCTCATGCATGCATCCCTGAACTCGTGTGTTTGAGTGGACAGAAATAGCAACAGCGTGCTCCAAAAGACGCACACGGATTTCCATGCACTGATGCGGTGGCCCAGTCTGCAACTCTAGAGATCCTGGTCTCTCAGCCATCAGGCTCCTGAGGGTGAACCCTGGGACCAGGGATAAGCTGGGCTCCAGGCCTTCCTATGCCAGAGTATTCAATTCTGCCTTCCTGCCAAGGATTAAGAGGCCAGCCTGGAGCCTGCAGCTAGAGTGTGGCTTGCCAGGCAGCTCCCTGCTGGCCTGTCTGGACTGCCAGGGAGAGAACTCTTTTCACTTCCCCCTCGATCCCCACAGCCTAGAGGCCGCAGGAGGGGGATGGACTGTTAGAGGGAGACCCAGCCTCTCCAGGCCCTCCCAGAGCTGGCAGCAGGGCTGTTGCTGGAAGGAGAAGCTCCAGAGGCAGGAAGCCAGCACTCCCCATGAGGCCCCAGTGAGAAAAGGGCCTTCTACCCCCAAACCACGGCTGCCCTCATACCAACCATCAGGGCTGGGCCAGGAGAGGGGAAGGCTTCCCTGGGCAGGTACTGCGAGCTGCTGAGCGTGCTGGGGATGCTGAAAGAAGCCTCTGGCAGAGCAGAGCATGAGGACTGAGCTCCACACACTCCCCCCATCAGTACCCTGCTGATAAACAGCAAAGGGCAAATGCAAAGCAGCCTCATCTGGCAGGCAAAAGGGCATCTCCTAGAAACATTTCTCTGGCAGATTCCCTAACATATAAATGAGCCAGGTGGCTCTGACCTTCACAGGGGTCCATTAGGAGACCCAGAGGAAGCATGCAGATGAGAGGTCCAGCCCCAGGGAGGCAGTCTGCTGCCACCAATGCACTGGGTCCCTGGGTAGACATTTTAGGAAGGGAAGGAGTAAAGTACAGTCCAACGACACACAGAAACTCTCCTCTTGTCTCCCTGGAAGCAGAACCGTGGGGAAACTTTTACTTTACACGCCTTAAGTGTTTCTCACACTCTACCCAGACCTCTCAGTGGCTTCTCTTAACTTCCTGGGAGGTGGAAGCTTGACACGCTAAGAGCTGGCCTTTAATAGAATTTCCATTTGTTCCAGGCACAGTACACGTTGCTCGGCCACCTGTGGCCCCTTTCCCCACACAGCTGCCGTAGCACCGCATGATGCTCCAGTGCACTGTAGAGTATGTGGATGCCTGGAGAACCGCTCAGCTGCCTGCACACGTGCTAAAGAGTCTGAGCCAGCCTACAACCTTGCAGTGTACTCAGACAGCCACAAGTTTCTCTGGATCCCTCAGAAGGCAAGTAACAGCTAGAATCACAGACTATAGCAGTGAACTGAACACATACTCGCCTAGTCCTAGAGCCCCAGAACTCTTTACTGCTGCCTATTAGAGCAACAACTTCTCATATACGAGGAATCACCAGAAAGTTTCTGGAACATGCATATGATGGGAAGAAAAGCCCCTATATGTGAATTTAATAAAGTTTTGGTATAAATTTCTCTGTATTTTATTTATTACTTATTTATTTTCATTTTATATGAAAGGCAAAGAAGACAGAGAGATTGATCTCCCAGCCACTGCTGTTTTACTCTCCAAATGCCCACAACAGCCAGAGCTGGGCCATGTCAAAGCCAAAAGCCTGGAACTTCCATGTGGGTGGCTGGGACCCAAGTCCATCACCTGCTGCTTCCTGCACATTAGCAGGAAGCTGGAATCAGAAGTGGAACTGAGCTTTGAACCCAGGAACCCTAGTATAGGATACAAATATCCCAAGCAACTCCGAATTGCTGTGGCAAACATGCACCCCCTAAACTTTCTGTTAAATCTCATTTTTCCATGAATCTCTTGAATTCCCCATATAGTACATGCATGTATTCCTTTCTCATTATTAGTATTACGATGCTGACAAGAACGTGACACCGATTCACATAGCACGGATTCCTAACGAGCAAGACCAATCGGAATTTCCTGTCCATACATACAACAGGCACCTGATGCGGACACCTTTAGCTCCTGTACCTACCAACATGAGCAGAGGCAGAGCCCTCTCTTCTGCAGTCCCCAGGAGCTCAGCATGGGATCAGGTGCACCTGCAGGTAGTATCAGCTCAACAAGGGCCCACTGGTCTCCTCATTACTAAGCGTGCTCACTCATAACCCTTCAACTGCTGACAGCTGAATCATGATGAAGTCTAACCCATAAGCAAGTCTAGGCACTGGGAGAAACGCCAGGGGGACCTAACATACCCCTTGGCCAGCAGAGCAGGTGTCCCACCTTGGAGTGCAATCTTATTCACAGTTGGGTGCTGCTTGGCATACACCTTAGAGTTCTCCATGGAAAAGACAACACTTCTGACCTATGAAAAACTTAGTGGAGCGGGTTTAACTGTAGTGGCTCTCTGACATGTTCTGCTGTGGAAAGGTGACGCCCCACCTTCACTCAGCGCTAAAGATTCTAAGTACCGTGTCTGTGGGCACACAAACCTCCCAATGAGCCTCGCATGCTGTTGACAGAGACCTCCTGCATGCAAAAGGCACTACCTCTCAAAGTGGAGTGGGCTCACCCAACTGCACCCCCGCCGCTGTGGGATTGCAGATCAGCCCTCTAGCTTCTTCGAGCTTGTTCCCTCATCTGCAGGAATGTAATGCCACCTTCGCACAGGGTGGCTCTACAGAGGAAAGCAGGTGCTGGCCTGGGGCTGCCCCCTACCCGTTAGGTGGAAGGGACTCAGTGGAGATCAGCTGGGCTGGAATGGCACACAGGACGACTGTGACGGAAAGGTGATCACAGAGGATCACAGTGAAAGCCAAAGAGATGAGCAGAAATAAGAAAGTTAAAACAAGAGGCAGATTTGTAAAACTTCCTGCTGGTCAACCAATAAGATATCTGGTTCCCCATGACCGAGTTCTGCCTCTGGGCTCCACACTTTCCAATGAAAGTAGAAGCAGCAGCAACCACCACAAGGCATGCAACGAGAGGGGGCTGGTACACTGAACACTGGCTGGACTAGACCTGGGTCCTTCTTTTGAAAGGGGGTGCATGGCTTCTGGCACCCAGTACTCGGGCCTCCAGCTTAACCTGCTGAGGACCCAGAGGCAAGGCATCCTCTGGCCAACAAGACATTTCTCAGAATCCAGCACAGACTCTCCCCCAGCATCACAGCACTGGCAGCCACATCCAGGTAAGTTCCACAGAGTACCTGCTGTCTTGAGCACCTGGGGTGTGCTGTGCTCCCATTTGGTGCCCTGCAAAAGGTTGGTGTTTTTGTTGTTGTTTGATTGGGTTTTTTTTTTTTTTTTGCCAGTATGTCTTTAGGCCCTTGAGTCTGCATGGCCCATGCAAACTTCTGCCTGATTCTTAAAGTCCAAGCGCTGGGTTATGCAAAACTTCATCACATGCCACTATTCTGTTAGCCTCAGGGCAAAAGTGGACCTGAGGAGAGGGTGGCGCTGGGACAGACAGGCAGAAACAAGTCTAGAGCCCTCCAGGAGCCCAGCCCAGCCCCTCCCAGCTGCCCAGTGGCTGGAGGCTGTAAGGAGAAGTGTGCCTTTTGCTTCTCCACAAATCTCTCCCAGGACAGTGTCACCTAGCGCAGCTGAAGGGGGAGGGGGAAGCTCAGCCTCCCAGATGTACACTGAACTCTTCACCCTTCCTCTCCAGGGAGTGGCTGGGTGCCTGCGTCTCTCTGCTTTTGTCCCCATGGCCCTCTGCTAACACTGCAAGTGACGTTTTCAGGGACCGGAGTCCCAGGGTGCAATGATGTTGTAATAAACACAGCCAGGACCAAACGCCTTCCCCTCATGTTCGATGATGCCATTTCCCACCAATCAGGCTCCTCGGGCAGGCAGACCACTCACCAATGAGGGTCCAGACACAGGCAGCCAGGGGAGACCTGGTCAGTGGCAACTAAAAATAAGGGTGCTTCAGGATTGGCCGCCGCCACTTTGCAACAGGAGTTGGGACCCACACAGAAAGACCCACGCCGGCACAAACTTTCACAGGCCCAGGGCCCTTAACACGCACGGGCTGCGCTGAGCTTGCTGCGTTCATGTTCCTCATTTGCTGACTTTAATGAAAGGCACAGGGCCCAGGTCCAGAGGGAGCCCCCCTCGCAGACACACCCTCCAGCCCACAGCCTCTCTCTCCAGGGTCTTTCGCAGGCCCGCACAACTGGAATATAGGAAGGGTGGCAGCCTGCAGCCAAGGCCACTCACCTGTCCCGCTGTGTCATAGAGTCCCAGGAGGTACTGCTTGCCTCCAACGGTGACGCTCACTGCAAGGACAGAGTGGGGGACAAGGAGAGAGGCTCAACGATGACCTGGGCTTTGGGAGTCCTTCTGTTCCCCTCCCTGCCCAGCCAGCCAGCTGGCAGCACGTTGGGCATTTTCGTCCCCACCTCCTCCGGAGACCGGAGACGTCACCCCTGCTCCCTGGCACCAGGCTCCCTGGGAAGCGGGTCCCCAAGTTGTCCACCCCCTCCCGTGGCTACGTCTTGTCTTCTGTTTCCCCAAAAGTCCGACCCTCTCCTTCCCTCCAGGGGCTGGGGCCCGAGGGAGGAGGCGATGAGAAGGTCAAAGAGGTCGGTCCAGGGCATCGAACCGGGTCGGAGGGCGCAGGCCAAACGGGATGGGTATGCGACCACGGGGTGGCCAGAAGAAGAGCGCGGGGGTGGGGCCGGCCTGCCCAGCCGCGCGCGGCGGGGGAGGGGCGGGAGCGGCCGGTTGGGGAGGCGGCTCGGGGGCTCCGCCAAAGTTGCTCCAAAGTTCCGGCGGGAGCGGCCCTTAGTCAGCAGTTCCCGGCTCACCTGCGTAGTGGTCAAAGACGGTGGGCACGTACTCCTCGGGGAAGGCGTCGTTGGCATAGCTCATGAGCAGGCACGTCTTGCCCACCGCCCCGTCGCCCACCACCACGCACTTGAGCATCAGTGCGCCGGGCCCGTGAGCCATGCTGCGGCCGGCCGGCCTCCGGGCATGGTCCCCCCGGAACCCTCGCCTCGACCCCGGGCTCAGCTGCCGCCCGCCGGGGGGGTCCTCCGCCGCCGTCGCCGCCGCCGCCGCTCGGCACAGCTGAGCCGCGCTCCCGGCCCCATGCAGCGGCTCCCCTCGCGGGAGGGGAGAGGGCGGCGGGCCCGGGGCGCTGCCGCCGCCGCTGCGCTGGCCGCGCGGATCCCCGCCCCGGCCCGGGTCGCCGCGCCCGCGTCCGCTGCCCCCGGCGCTCGGCGCCCGCTGCTGCTGCTGCTGCTGCTGCTGCCCAACCCGGCCTCGGCGGGAGGATCCGCTGGATCATAAGACTGTCCGGACCCGGAGGAGACGGCAACTTTGGGGCGGGCGGCGGAGGGGAGGGGCCAGCGGCTCTCCCCGCCCCGCCCGGCGCGGCCCGAGGAGGAGGAGGAGGAGGGCGGGCCCGGCGCCTCCCGCGAGTGCGCCCGCCGGCTCCGCGCCCGCGCCCCGCCGCCACCGCGCGCGGCCCTGCCGGCTCCGGGGAGCCTGGCTCCGGCGCGGCCGGCCGAGGGCGCGGGGGAGGAGCCGGCCAGCGCCCGGGAGGAGCCCAGGGCTCCTCGCGCAAGTGTCCGCAGCGCCCGGAAGCGTGCGGAGGCGCCGAGGCTGGGAGCAGACGCGGAGGCCTCCTGAGGAACCGCGACGACTTCCACGATGACGCAATGAAGTCATGCAACATTATCCGTATATATTTAAACTGACCCCGGAAGGCAGGAGCCGTCCCAGCGGTTTCTAAGGGCACAACGAAACTAGACATCAGGAAGACCAGGGCAGCTTTAGTAATAATAATGGTAATAATAATAATAATAGTAATAATAATAATAAAAGGAGTACGAGGGGGTGGGGTCGCTAAGCCGGGAGGGCAGGACTCCTGGCTAGCTGCTTGTCATCCCCAACCGTGACGCCACGCCTTTCTCAGCGACAGCTGCTGTCCTTTGCTGTGGAGCCGGGGATAAGGGGAGCACAGCAGTGAAACCATTGGCGCGGCCCCAGCCCTCTTCCTGGGGAGACCCGCTGGCCCTGGTCCCAGCGAATGCACCAGCGCTCTGGTGGAGGCGGCATTCTCCGAAGCCTCCTTCCAACCCCCGAGTGGCCCTTGGAGGAGTTCACTGGGCTGCGTATCATGGAGGCCTCGGCCTCTATGCTGTCTGTCCCGGAGGTCTATTTTATTTTGGACCCCGGGTTTGGGGCGGGCTGCACTTCACGCTTTGGCCTCACCCGCACCTCCAGCTCGCTAGCCTCTCGTGGATTGCACCTTGGAAAATCTGCTTGGAGAGGCTGCTTCGAGGTGGGCTGGGCCTGCCCTGAGCTCACCAATGGCCAGAGCTAGGCAAAGAAGGCATCCTGAAGGCTTTTCCTGTGGGTCACAGATGCAGATGTGCTGCTTTGGCAAATCCCACTGTGACACCACCATACCCCCGGCCGTGTCCCGTTCGTTGCTTGTCATTTCTCAGAGTTGAAACTCTGAATCTGACTCTCCTAGGGAACTTCCAGGGTTCTTGGAAATTCCTTGTAGATTTACCCTGAGCATTTGCCCAGACGAGCCCATTGCCTTTGAGCGTGGGCATCTGCATTGCACTTTGGATGGCGCTGTGGGTCTGGAAGGTACTTGGTGTGTTATGATTGACAAACTGAGGTAGGTAGGGCAGAGTCTTGAGTCAGGACTGGGTTTGAGGGTCTTCTCTGCCATTTCTTCCTAGAGGCTGAGACAGAAAGACTTGTTGTCCCTTACCGTGCCTGTAGGACCCTTTCCAGGGGTAGCATTTGCTGGGACTCGGGTTCTGAAAGGAGTTTGAGAAGCCACTGCGGGGCGCCCAAGCCCAGAGCACTGACCCTGGCCCCAGCTCCCACCCCACCTAGCAGCATTGCCTGGAGTGTGTCTCTTTGTCTCTCCAGGCTACGGATTGCTCATCTGCAGACGTTTGCTCATCCGACAAGGACCTCCCAGCTCTAGAAGTTCTAGGAGGAGCTCTGAGAATGCCAGAGCGCTCTGGGTGAAGGATGAATCACACGGGGGTGACTTCATCAGTGACAGCGACCTCATTCCTTTGGACCACAGAAATGCCAAGCAAACAGCCAGGAAGGCAGTGACCTCGGGGGCCCTTCCCACCCAGGGTAGGTGTGGGGCCGGGAGGAGGTGCCCTTACCCCGAGCCCCTGAGTGTTGGAAGGAGATCAGCAGTTTTCCTATGGAGAAAGACAAGAATTCTTCAAGTGGGAAAAACCAATTCTCAAAAGGCAGATCATGGGGACAGGAAGTAGCTGGGTCCCTATGCACCACAGAGGCTGTCTGCTTGCTTTTTTCCTTTTGTAATAACCAGAGACACCAGTATAGACCCAGGTCTGTGTGAGAACAGTGAACTGGCCACTTAGTCGTCTCCTGTTTTTCCACCCCTCCCTCCTTCCTCCTTGTTAGTTCCTTTCAGTATTTCATTTAACAAGCATCGATTGAAAGGCACGATTCACCAGGCTTTATTCCTGCGCAGGGGCAAATAGCTGGCAAGTCAGGGTCCCCGGAGTTGGGGAAGTGGACAAGAACCGATGCACGAGTGGCCAGTTACTATCCAGTGTGCCTAGAGAACCCAGCCCAGACTCCTGAAATTCAGCCACCCGCTGGTACACAGCTCTGGCGATGCTGAGGAGGGGCATGTGGGAGCGGGTATCCTACACCCAGGGCTTAGGAGGCTCCTAGGAGTAGGGCAAGAAGGCCTGGTAAAGACAGAACCCAGCCCCCAGGGACAAGAGTGTGGGCAGGGAGCAGGCTGACTGGTGTGCGGACCTGGTTTATTGTTCATTAGGAGTCATGCAATGCAGATGTCATGTTTGCTGCACAACACGAGTGTGTTGGCCTAAGGTATTAACAGCTTATACGTTGCAACAATTTCTTGAAGTTTGGTGATCCCTACTGATCAGAGTGATAAATCAGATGGACTCCGTTGGTATTCATTTCCAGTTACATCCCTAGATCCCAGTATCTAGATCCCTTTTTCTGACCATTATTTACCCAAAATTCCAAAGTATGGTCCAGTCTCTGGGAATGTTGGCTTAAGCACCATTAAAGCTATTTTGACATCTTTATGATTCACTGTCTTCTACTGCACATGAGATCAGATGACTCCAGGCACTGCCAGCCAGTGCTAAGCTTTGGAGAGGACACTTTGAGAGAAGCGTGAGGATTGTGCTTGTGACCTGGGAGTGGCCCCTCCCCCAAGGCTCCAGACTGGACACAGATCCCTTTGCCAGAGCTAATGTTAGTGGTTTTACTCAATGCTGCAATCCTAAGGATGCCAGAAAAGCACCCAAGACTCACTTGCTCTGCTGTAGAGGGTGCTCTGGCTCCTGTGTGTAACTGCCATGCTGTGAGTTTGGAGAGCTTTCTTCCTCTCTAAGTGAGAAGAAAAGAGCATCCTTTACATCAGCTGAAAATTACAGACTCTGGCTTTCCTTGTCATACTGAAGAGCTTATGAAACTAGGCATAAATACAGGGCACACTCTTTCTGGAAGTTGCAGCTTCAGGGATATGCAATTCAGCCCCTAACACGTGAAGTGGCACCTCAAGAATAGGTGGCAGTAATGGATTGCTATAATTGAGTTGCTGGTTAAGAAGTGACAGCTGTACACATGGCTTGACGGAAGTTTCGTGACAGTAATGGTACCAGAGTGGCTTTCTCATCACAGTAGTTCCTGAGGCATGTGATGGGTGGCAGTGTTCCTATCTTGAACAGCTCTAGCCTTTAAGATACCTGTTGAATCAGCCGTACTTAGCTTCTATGACTTGCAGCCCAGCATCTTAAGGATTGGAGAAGCAGAGTGTGATACTGAAAGAGCACGATACTGAATGTAAGTAAAGACATTATATGTACTACATGTATAGTATATATAAAACCAATGTTTGCAGAAAATGGACAGCACATAGCACGGGATTGAGAGCAGAGGAGCAAAGATAAACTCTCCTACTACTCTTTGTGCCGGCATCATTTTCTGAGCGTTGGAACTGTAAACCCAAGAGGATAAAGATGGTCTTATTGGGTAGAGGACACAGCTGGGAATAACTTCAAGTCAGAGGGTCAGAGAAGAGGGTATATAGCAGCACAAAGGGCCCTGAGATTGTTTGAACCCATTGCTGCGTGCTAAGTTGCATATGCCTAGGGTGAAAGAACCACCAGACAGCTGGGAGCTGACTGAGTCCCGGGACTCGATAAGACTGGGAGATGTTTGAGTTTCAGTGGGCCAGTGTGACATGATTTTATCAAATGTCCAGAGAATTCAGTAGGCTCTCCTTCAACAGAAGAGCTAAAGCAGCTGTAGAGTACAATACTGGACATCCCCCAACTTAGTTGTGAAATAAACCTCAAAAAGAATAAGTTCATCCACTAGTGCCATAACTGCCAGCCAAAATTTGGCATTTTTGAAAGGACAGTAACATTCAACACCAGAAAATTCAGTATGTAAGAATTACTGGATATGCAAATAAGAGGGGATGTAATTCAAAATCGAGAGAAAACTTAGTCAATAGAACCTCAGAAATGAAAAAAAAAAACCTCAAATGACAGAGGCATGAATTTCATATACAAGGACTTAAAATGAAATTTAAAATGCATGCAAGTCTTAAAGGAAAACATGGATACAATGGAGATAAAATGGATGATAGAAAAAGGAGCAAATGAAACTTCTGTGGTTTAGAAATGTATATGTGAACTGAATGACTCACTAGCTGAGCATAACAACAGATTGGACATTATAGAAGAAAATATGCTTGACATTGAAAACTTAGCAGTAGAAGCTGTTGAAGCAAAGCACACACACAATGCAACATGAGATTTCAATGATCTATAAGACCAAATCAAATGATGCAATATGACTTACAGTTGGATTCCTAGAAAAGGACTGAGGGTGGCTAGTGATTTGAAGACATGGTAGCCATAAATGTTCCAAACTTAATGAAAATCACTTAACTCACAAACTTAAGAAGTTCAACAAGTCCTAAGCAAGAGGAACACAAGTAATATCAAGAGTTCTTCATAACTAAATTACTGGAACCAG